GCTTATACCATGTCAAGATGTGATTCAGAATGTTCTTAAATGGAATTTAGTGACTTAAAAACCAGCATTCTGAGGTCTTGTGCTGTCATATAGTGGTTTAAATTAGTAATGCATGTTTAGACCCTTTGTGGAAGCATATGAACACATTCTGCTCTTTAAATACATATATCAAGGTAATTTATGCACAAAAGTTAAATTGTTTTTCATAATTACTGATTTAGACAGTCCAGACATTTGTACAACATTGATTTTGTCCAATCTGAGCAAAAAAGTAGAGACGAGTTCCTAAAAGTATTGTTTGAAAAAATGGTGAATAGTGAATGGATGGTTTGAGTTACAGCAGTGGATTGTGCCAAAGTGATCAGAATATACAGGCCTGTCATATAATATGTCATATCAAGTATATTTGTGAAAAACTGTCTAAATTAAACACATATTCTGCAAATTTGGTCATGTAGCAACAGTGTTGAGCAAGTTACTTTTAAACAGTATTATATTACAGAATACTTGTTACTGTTTTTTAGAAGTAATCCCTTACATTACAACATTACTGTCTTGGAATTGTAATATGTTACATCACTCTTATACTACTTTTCAGATACATTTACCAGAGTAAGTAGAGAATTTACACTTAATATTGTAAAATGACCAAAGTTACTGCAGAGCATTTTACATCTAGAAAGTAATATGATGTAGCAGAATGAGTGGGACCTATCAGGCTATTAATAAAATAGTATATAATTGGCAATGTAAAGGTTCAAGTCAATGCAAGAAAGGATGACAGTCAAATTTTCAAATGATCTGTTGGTACTGTAGAGGTTAAGTTATTATATGACAATATTTGTGAATAGCTTGACTATATTCATACAAAACAGGCCTAAATGTCAACTCCAATGACATGACAAGATGCAGATTTCTTTTTTTTTGTTATTGTTGCCATTATTGTAGGTCTTTACTGCGAACCAGGCTGAGCTAATAGCACTGGATTATGCTAAAAATGCTAATATTATTCTGCTTTCAAAGTAAAAAGTTCCAATAGCACTCACCACGATGGGAAATAGAACTGCTGTATTTTTTGTTTGTTACTGTTTTGTGGGCTAAAAGTTTGTTGTAATGCTGCATTACTGAACATGTACTGACTAAAATATTACTGAAAATGTATATTAGTAATGCCTTGCGTTACAAGAAAATGTAAAACATTACAGTAATACATTACTTTTGTAATAATTGCAAACACTGCACAGCAATGAAAATCAGTGTTTTTGAGACGTTTTCTACTTTTAGAGGGTACAATGAACGTGTATAGTAGATGTGATTGTATGGGCTGCTTCTCACTGTACTTTGTGACAAAACAGAATTTTAAATACAGTTCTTTATTCATGTTGAAACTTGCAGGTATTTGATAGAATTGTCCCTCATGCCTAATTTCTGTCGTCTGTTACTAGGTAAATGGGCTGTGTACATGACAGCGATGCACTTAAATATGTCTTATGATAATACTATGTTGGCACATTTCTACATAAAATTTATGACTTTTACAACAACTGTGAAGCAAAATAAATTTTATTTCCCATTTAAAAAATATTCATAAGGCATGTAGGTTTATACAGATGTGTTTTTGCTTATTTATTTGTTTAAAATATATGGTGTGGATTATAATGTAATAAACTGAGAGAGAAAGTTTTGTCATGAACCATATTTCTAACTATAAGCAAGAAAAGTTATCTGTAGCAGGTTGGTGCTTATGTTACAATTAATCACCCTGAGGGCAGTGTAGTTCGTTTATAGTTTAATGTTACAGCTTAAAATTTAAAAGGGTTACACACATATGTCCCGAGGTGGCAGGAATGCAGTTTTAAGTAGATTTGTCTGTTACCAATAAACACTTATGTACTAAAACGGTGGATGACGTACGCTTAAAATAGTTATTAAACAGACATAAAGCAGTTTCTAAATTATGTGATATAGGTGGTTCGTGGTAGTAAAAAATTTTTTTGTGTGTTTTTTGTATATGCTGAATATGTAACAATCAAAACAATGCCATAATTTAGAACACACATTTCTGTTATAATATAATATAATATAATATAATATAATATAATATAATATAATATAATAATATAATATAATATAATATAATATAATATAATATAATATAATTAATATAATATAATATAATATAATATAATATAATATAATATAATATAATATAATATAATATAATAATATAATATAATATAATATAATATAATATAATATAATAAAAAATAATATAATATATAATATAATTGATAATGGTTGCATATATGTTTTAATAGAATGTTTATTGAATTAAATTTTAATAGTTTATGAGATTTCTAATGTATTAATTTAATACATTTATTCTGAACCATTGCAAGACGTATGCATTATGCATATCATTAATTGAATGAATTGCATTCATATGGCTTTATGTTTGACTGTACATACAATAAAATCCATACTGAAACTAACAAGACCATAAAAAAAATAAAATAAAACTAAACTTAAATGTATTTCAAATGTTAAAATTGTCAAATCAAAAAGTAAGGAAATAATGCAGAAGTTTGACATTGGTAGTGTTTTTTTTATTTAATTTATCCAGTAGATGGCGCGTGTGTTATTGTGTGAGAGAAGGTGTCCACGTGTTAATTATGAAGGAAGCCATTTTCGACAGGCCATTTTAGACAGGTAAGACGTGTTGGTTGTGAGCTTTGAGTGATATATTTATATAATATATAGATTATCTATTTATATGATTTGTGATTGTAATTTGTATTTTATTTGTGTAAAGGTGTGGTCTTATGTCGGTAATTTATGTAATTTAATCGTTTAGCGTTAATTTTTGAATACGAGTTAATTAGGTAACGTTAGTAGATTTCAGTGGACGTGTTGATTTAGATCGATTCAATGTCATCATGAAACTATTGTACGTGTGTAAGTAAAATAACGCTACAAGTTAAGACAGTACAGTCGGATGTAGGCAGAATAAAATATAATATACGGATTGAAATCGACATTCGGAGACAATAGGATAGTCAGTTCATAAGTCTGCGTTTTTAATTTAATTTAGCTCCCTGAAAGTGTTGCACGTGGTAAAAAAAAAAAGGTAGGGTAAGTGTTGCACGTGGTCGCCGTTAAACAATTCATGTAAAGGAGTCGTTTTTGCGAATCGTTTTTAGGACATGTTGTTAATGTGGGGAAGAGATTTAATTGTGATTAATAGCGGGGATGAAGTCTAAACATTAAAATATAAATCATATACACGTACAATAGGGCGTTTAGGTAAATGTGTATAAGATGCCAGATTAGTGTAACGTTACATGGTTGCTTGGTAGTACAATTTGTTTTTGCGGATAGATTTGTGGGCTATTGTTTTTATGTGTTAAATAAACATGAGTGTGATTAATGGAGGTAGTAAATTATGAACTATAAGATGAGATTGAAAATGTGCGGACAATCCAGCTAACGTTAGGTTAAGGAGTTGTCTGTGTAGCAGGAGTAAAATATTGTGGTGTTGCTAGATATAGCGGAGTTGTTCCAAGTCAAAAGATGTAAAAAACCCGCCTAAAATATTATATTAATATTCTATTTGAATTATTTAAATCGAAATCAACCTAGACAGTGGTATGTTTGTTCTTGTTGTTAATTGCGGGGAAAATGATCGATAAAAGCGTCACGATAAACGGCGGAATTTAACTGCATCACGCGTGATGTGCGTGCGGGCGGAGACAGCTTTGTCTGAAGAGTCAGATTTTGATACAACTTTCCTTCAAGTCCTTTTGCGGGAGAAACCACGCGATTTGAAATATGCACTGGTCACTACTAACTGAATGGAGGAGTAAATAGTTATGTTTCGTTAAATATTTTGCATTTGCAATCTAGTTTTACAACCACATAAATTTTGTCAATGTGCCTATATCATTTTTTAACTGTACAATGAAATTCAAAATTGTCCAATTGGCAGAAAACCGCCCAATCTGGCAACAATGGCTTTTAAGTAGTCATGTAAATTGATTCATTTTTGCGAATCGGTTCTTTTGAGCTTTGCGTTCACGTGCTCATCAGGTTTGATTACGACTGGTGGAGAACGTCATCGATGCAGTCTGTATATCACAATCACGTACTGGAGCAGGTACAACGTGTGGCTATTGTAATACACATTGAGGTAATTGTTTTTGAAATTGTGTGATAAAGTGATTTGTATTGAGTTGACAAACTAATTGCCGATTAAACGAGTGGTCGAGGCGGCTTCCAAACGCGTATAGTTTTTTCCATTTGTTGGATAGCAGTGAAGATCGTCATGAGAACTAAAACAGCGAATTAAAGTCATGTGCTGTGCACGTGGACGCAGTGTATAATTCGTGCTGAACATTTAAATGTGTGGGATTACGGACGTTATTTAAATTTCATAAACAACAAGTCGACAGTTTTGAGACCTGTGGTAAAAATGTAAAAGGGTAATATTAAATGTGATACTTTAATTGTATTTGGTATTGAATTAGTTGGCCCCATTTACACTGCCAGGTCTTGATGCTCAATTCAGATTTGTTGCCTAATTGTTTTATCTGATTTGTTTGCCGGTCTGTTTACACGTTTTAATTGTGACCCTTATATAATTCATGCAGTTAAACTTGCCGATGTCGCGCACGCATAAAGGCGGGTTCTAGCATCTGTGTCATGATGATATGTATAATCCATTTATAAATAATATTGTTTTGTTTGCGTTTAAACATTGCGACCATTCACACAAAATATTCTTATTTTGTTGCTGTCGTACTACGGATATTTTCTCAAAGTATCATTAAACGTGGAGCTAACAAATTACAAGATAAAATAAGCATTTAATCGGTTGTCATCAGTTAGCCGATTCCTTGCCAGAAGCAGCCCGGATTCTACACACAGAGTCGGGCCATATATGGTTAACAGGAATCGGGTTACTGCTTTACAGCCGTATCACAAACGCATGTGCGCGAGCGAGCTGCGGGCCATACTCGGCCCAGATAACAATCGTGTGTGTGTGTGTCTTGGACAATTTTGGATATGTCTATACTGCTGTAGTATAAGATTTCAATGCATGTAATGTGTTTTGTTGTGCACAGGAGTGATATCTGTGAAAATATGAAGAGGGCCAAAGTGGAAATTGAAGGATACCTTCATAGTGTGTCAGCTATCTGTGAGGGTAGTGACAACAAGTACTTCACAGCGTTAATCCAGGAAGCAGATCGTAATACCCGTATGGTCATTTTTGATCTACAGAGACATGATGTGTTTCAAAATGCAGAGAAGGACAGGTAAGTGGCAAATTGTAGTGAACAAATGTTTGTTAATTTTTTACAATCTGAAATAGGATTGGGAGATATGACAAAAATGCCAAACATACATTTTTTTTTTATTTTTTTCTAGAATAATCAATGTTTCACAATTTTCCTGAGATTGTTTTTGATGCAGATTTTAATATTGTTTAGTTGTTTGAAGTATAGGTAAAGTAATACTGTTATTTTAAAAAGAAAGCATTTAAATAAAATAAAATAAAAGAGAATTGTATAGCTTTAGGAAAAAGTGGATATGTAATTAATAAAATGTAGAACAATGATTTATCTTACAAATATACAGAATGTACAAATAAAGCTACCAAGAATAGCAGGTGCATTTAACAATAGAATTTAGGAAAGTGAATGGGGGAAGAAAAAAAATGTGTATATATATTAGGGCTTGTATAGACTAGTCAAGCAATCGACTACTTCAACCACTAGTCGACGCTCTTAGAAGCAATCGACTACTCGAGCGTGCATTTACCATAAATGACATCAAAAGGACAAATGATCCAACCAACATTACGATACAAGATTAAAGCTTCCAACTACAATTAAGGATTAAATTCAAGATTATTTACATTATCAATAATAATAATATTAGGTGTATTTATTAGGGCTGTAACGATACACCAAACCCACGATTTGGTTCGTATCCCGATTTTTGACCCACGATTCGGTTTGTATCACGTTTTTTTTCGTTTGGGGTAGGGAAAAAAAAGATTTTTAATACTGTTTTTTTTTTTTTATTAAATAGCATTTGAAAAATCTTTATAAACTACACATCAAAGAACAATATTAACTATGCAAATTATTAACGATATAAATAGCCATATATAAAATAAATAAATAGCCAAAGCTATCACTTTTGTTTTCTTTGTAACAAAATACTTTTGAAAAACCAAACAGAACTGAACTCCATTGTGTAGATGGTTCAAGCATGTTGAAAATTCTTTTTCAATCAAGTTCTTTTACATTGAAAAAGTAAATTAAATGGCTACTAGGGATGCTCATTTCGTTAATTTTGCTAACCGACAACCGCCGCTCATTAATTGGTTATTAACGGTGAACTGGTCAGATTACTATTAATTTTATATTAAACAAATTGATGTGTCTATTTTGTGTCTGACACATTAAATATTGCATTTTAAAATACTGATTTATTTTTAAATGCTAGCATATTAATAACAGAACAGAACAACAAAGCATCTTTACGCACCTGCAGTGTTTAGCACAGAAGAGCAAAATAATCTAAATAAAATGAATAAAATAAATAGGACTACCCTAAATTATTTTCATTTAAATAATTAATTTATATTACAAAACGAAAATACTGACCGATTCTTTTAATAACCGGCATAGGCTGTTTTTGTCCAATCGTGTTATTTCTTCCGTCAAATAAATATCGCAGACTTCCTCAAATTGGCCTCTCCATGGAAAATATGCATTTATTTAATGCCCCGCTGTTATTATTATAATAACAAAACCTTTTACATTTTTAATAGGAATCATTATTTTAAAGAATATGTCCTGATGGTTTTCTCTCTTTCCCTCGCGGTTCAAGTGCGCGCGCTGCATGATGAAAAGACAACAACAACAACGCGCTCATATGTAGACTTTTTGTAAACAGTTTTGTTGTTTAAATATGCTATTGCATTAATGTGCATGCATGCTTTATAAGCCGAAAACAAGGTGCATCTCACTGCCTTTATGTTGACAAGGAAAAAAGAAGAGGCGTGGTCCTCTTATGAAATGACTGAATCAGCTGGGTATCGATTGTGCAAAAGTGTTGCTATCTGTGTTGTTACAATTGTAATATTTAATACTATTGTGATATTCAAGATTTGTACATTCATCCAGGTCTGGATAACTTAAAACAGCGATTAGACCTTCAGAGTGGCATTAATGCGTCCTGAAGTAAAGCGAAATGGCTATAAACTCCAGCAAGATAGAGTGATTATATGCAGAGCCATATACCTTTATCTCTAAATAAAGTATAACTATAGAAACTGTGTTCATCTTAACTGAAAGCTTCGTCCTGTTTCCTCGCATTGCTCACCTGTCAGTCAGCACGTAACGTTAACTCCCAAAGGGTTAAACTGAAAGTGCACAGCACGTTTACAGAAAAGTTTCCTCTGCAGAGGAGTCGGGGCATCTGGTGAACGCCCATCCCTCTCTGCGCAGCCACATCAACAACAATGCTTTGACAGCACTGGCAATGTTTCTGCTGTTGTCTTTTGTCAAGTGGGGTTAAGTTTGTTTTGTTTTTGATATTCCTGACACGTTCAGACGGTCCCTTACTAAGAGCTCCGTGCGAGCTCTCCCGGTTAAACGCTAATTGCGAGATTTTAAATGGAGCAGTGCTCGTAATGTCGAGCGGAAAAAAAGTGTTTCCTCATGTTCTTCTTCAACTAGCTCAACTTTTGCAGGCACGCGTGACGTTATTGGAAAGGTAGTCACGCGGTGTGTTGTGATTCTCTCATCACACTGCGACACAGGATCGTCGATCTGAGTGTCGCGATTTTGATTTCATATCGTGCATCGTTACAGCCCTAGTATTTATTGGTTTACTGTGTTAAAATGTTTTTTTTTTTTATAGGCTTGTAACAGTGGATTTGAACAGACTTTAAATATGCTTTGGTAATTAATGCACAGTAAAGTGATAACATCAGAGTACAACTGTTTTATAATTCTAAATTTGAATTATTATGTTTGTGAAAATTGCTTGCTTTTTTTATATGGTTAAAATTAGACATTTGCTAATATCAGGTTCCCTGTTGCATTATATCAAACATTGCTAGTTGTAATGTAGTTATACTAACACAGGGTTCAGAAAAATTAAATATCTCTGGTAACCCTTAGGTTGGCACTCTTCTATTTTGGTAGTTTGAATATAAATTTCAGTAGCCTTAATAGAGAATACATTATTTATTAAATGAGAAGAAAAAATGCATTTAGAAATTAAAAAAAAAAATGTAATGTCATTTGTTAATGCTATGTTTATAAATTTTTGAAATACCAAAATATTATTTAGCCTTTATTTTTTGATTAATATGTATTTTTTAAATAAGCAAAGTGAACATTTCTTCAGGTTTATTTTGGCAACTATAAAAACTTTATATATATGTGTGTGTGTATATGTGCCTCACAGAAGACGCATTTTTATAAACGCCTGTCTTTAACGCATGTTGGCATGAAGTTTTTTTTTTTTTTGTAGAAATGTGTGCATTATCAATTTAAATGATTAACTGCACATCTATTTATAATTTGACTGACAAACTAATGTGTTTTTATCTTAATATTAAGTAATTGCATAAATATTATATTTTGGATTTTTTATAGCTTAAACAGGCCTTATGTAAACATCATGATGTGTAACTGTTAATGAATCAAAAGAAAGAAGTTTTGTTAAACTGTACTGTTATGTACTATTCTCAGGTAAAAAAAAATGTGTGTTTGTTTATTTTAATTGTTTCTGAATTAATGTCATGTTTTAATTCTTAATACTTTAGGTCATTATTTGACATGGGATAAATGGGATGTATTGTAACAAATCTGGACTTTAGTTTATGCTGCTATGGACAATTGGTTTTAAATATAATGCATACGTTCACAAAAATTTGTAAGGTTTCTGTATCTGAATTTTTGTGTTGGTGAAATCTTGATTGTGTGCTTAATTAATTGAAACAATAAGTTAATTGCTTACTATAAAGGAAAGCAAAAACATGAAATGGTTGTAATCAAAACTATAAAAAGCAATATGGTCATTTAAATGGTTAACCAGTTTTCGTTTCAGTTTCACAGTTGAGTGCTTATGTCATGGCTGTTGTCAGTTTGTAGGAAAAAATGAGTTAACTTTTTTTACATGGAAAACAGTATTTAAGTAATGGTAATTTCAATTTGTTGTAGTTGATTAGTGCCGTTGGTCTGCTTTTAAAGGCATAAATGAGGCTATTGTTTTTTTCTGATTAAATCTTGGAAATTCTGTTTGTTGTGTTGCAGAACCCCTGTAAAGTTATGCAATGTCCAGCTTTCTCCATCACGTTACAGAAGTGGTGAGACGGATATCATTTTCAATTCAGGTTCTACATTAAGCTGTGTTCGTCATCTGAATTTCGTCTTTGATGAGAGTTGTCGTGTTGATGTTCGTGATGTTACACTGAAGGAAATTGTGGAAAATGGTCGCGAGTATCAAAGGGTAAGTTGATTTGTAGGATGGCAATAGCATGCATATATATTTTGGCTTAATTCATTTTAGAAATAAGCACATTTTAGCTACAAAAAATGTATCTTGTGTAATATAGATAACATTAGAATTCAGATAGTCCTACTGTTCAAATAATTGTACATTGATTAATGTGAAGACTAAAATTGTTTGCTTTTAATTATGTACAGTTTTAAATATTTGTGCGTTACAAGCTTACAATTATGAGCAAAAGAGAAATAACATTGATTATAGGCTTGGGCAGTATCCAAATTTTGATACCGTCAAACTGCCTCTATTTTACCCCGGTGTCCAGTATTACTGGTGTTTAGGGCTGTAACGATACACCAAACCCACGATTCGGTTCGTATCACGATTTTTGACCCACGATTCGGTTCGTATCACGATCTTTATTTATTTTTTTCGTGTGGGGTGGGGAAAAAAAAGATTTTTAAAACTATTTTTTATTAAATAACATTTAAAAAATCTTTATAAACTAAACACCAAAGAACAATATTAACTATGCAAATTATTAACAATAGCCATATATAAAATAAATAAATAGCCAAAGCTATCACTTCTGTTTTCTTTGTAACAAAATACTTTTGAAAAACCAAACAGAACTGAACTCCATTGTGTAGATGGTTCAAGCATGTTGAAAATTATTTTTTATTTAGGTTCTTTTACATAGAAAAAGTAAATTAAATGGCTACTAGGGATGCTCATTTCGTTAATTTTGCTAACCGACAACCGCCGCTCATTAATTGGTTATTATCAGTTATCTGGTCAGATTACTATTAATTTTATATTAAACAAATTGACGTGTCTATTTTGTGTCTGACACATTAAATATTGCATTTTAAAATACTGATTTATTTTTATATGTTAGAATATTAATAGCGGAACAGAACAACAGAGCATTTCCACGCACCTGCAGTGTTTAGCACAGAAGATCAGAATAAACTGAATAAAATAAATAGCACTGCCCTAAATTATTTTCACTTAAAAAATTAATTTATATTACAAAACGAAAATACTGACTGATTGTTTTTAATAACCGGCATATAGGCTTTTTTTTCCAGTCATATGTTTTTTTCTTCCATCAAATAAAATTGCAGACTTCCTCAAATTGCTCGCTTCACAGAAAATATGCATTTTTTTAATGCCCCACTTTTATTATTATAATCACAAAACCTTTTACATTTTAATAGAAATCAATATTTTAAAGATTATGTTCTGATATAGCCTATTGTTTCCTCTCTTTCCCTCACGGTTCAAGTGCGCGCGTTGCGTGATGAAAAGACAACACGCGCATATGTAGACTTTTTGTAAACAGTTTTGTTGTTTAAATATGATATTGCATTAATCTGCGTACATGCTTTATAAGCTGTAAAATAAAAAGTAAAGCCTATTTGATGCGTTTATTACGCAGATCCAGGTCAACATAAGCGCTGGTTAAGCATCAACAGGTCTGTGTCAAACAGCAATATTCTTCTTCCATTTTGCTTCTTTGGCAAATGTGTCTGTAGGCACGGGTTACACGTTATGGTCCCGCAAATTAAATATGCCTTGCAGTTAAACAATGGGCGAAAACGAGGCGCACCTCACTGCCTTTATGTTGACAAGGAAAAAAGAAGAGGCGTGGTCCTCTTATAAACGACTGAATCAGCTGCGTATCGATTGTGCAAAAGTGTTGCTGTCTGTGTTACAATAGTAATATTTAATACTATTGTGATATTCAAGATTTGTATATTCATACAGCTCTGGATTAGACCTTCAGAGCGGCGTTAATGAGTCCTGAAGTAAAGCGAAACGGCTATAAACTCCAGCAAGATAGAGTGATTGTATGCAGAGCCATATACCTTTATCTCTAAATAAAGTATAACTATAGAAACTGTGTTCATCTTAACTGAAAGCTTCGTCCTGTTTCCTGACCTCACGCATCGCGCACATGTCAGCAAAGGTTCAAACAGAAAGCGCACAGCATGGTTACTTAAAAGTTTGCGCTGTTACCTGACATCTGGTGAACGCCCACCCCTCTCTGCGCAGCCACATAAACAGTGTGAGCAAATCATATGCGCTGAAAATCCGGGTGCTTTGACAACACTGGCAATGTTTCTGGCGTTGTTGGTTGTCAAGCGGGGTTAAGTTTTTTTTTTTTTTTTGATATTCCTGACACATTCAGACGATCCCTTACTAAGAGCTCCGTGCTAGCTCTCCCGGCTAAATATTGCGAGGGCTTAAACGGAGCAGTGCTTGTAATGTTGAACGAAAAAAAGTGTTAATTAGCTCAACTTTTGCAGGCACGCGTGACGTTATTGGAAAGGTATCACGGGGAATGTCGCGATTCTCCCTTATCAAACCGCGACACAGGATCGTAGATCTGAGTGTCGCGATTTCGATTTTATATCATGTATCGTTACAGCCCTACTGGTGTTATAAAGAATTTATGACGTAAGGCTCCGACAGCGTCACCAAACTGTTGGCTTGAGTCTAAACCATTCAGAAACTGAATACCTTTTATGCGACTTTAGGCTTGTGGTCAGAAAGAGAGACAGAGCCAAGCGACACACAGCATCTCTCTCTCTTTCTCTCTCTTACACAAACACACACACATCTCTCTTGCGATCTATCAGAAATGTACTCGCACACCGTAAGAAATGCAGACAGCTGTAATCGGGTCATAACAATTATACTCGATAGGTCATGAGTCCAACAGGTACATTTTGATTGAGAGCTTTATAAAGCTTGAACCTGTTTACAGCCTGACATTATTCAAATGTGCTCATGCACAGAGCTCTGATGCATTTTTTTAAGAATTAGTCATTTATATGTTTTAACATCATTTATTTGTAACAAACGTAGACTATAGGACACTTGGAAGTTGGAAGAAAGAAATAAAATAAGTCGTCTGTAACATCGTAAAATCTCAAAACTCTAAATAAGCTTGGGTACAGACACTTAGCCTTTAAATTGGCCAACACACCAATGAAAGAAAATCTTGCTTAACAAATCAAATTAAAATAAACTGTAAATGATGACGGGTATTTTGGCAATAACGAAATTAAGATAAAGGCTCTGCAAGATTTGTTCTGCCACTTCTGTTCACAATCTGGCATTAACGTAAAGCTGAATATTAAAAGAATAATGCCACTATTAGCCTGTATACTCTGTCTACATTGAATTTATGGTTTAATATTTATTTATAATTTAAAAACTATTTACACACCAAGATTAGGCTAGATGACGGGGAGCTTTTGTGACTGTGAGAAATGCAAATGACTGAAAAGTGATAAGTACACAGAATTGCAAACCTCACCTAAAGTTACAAATAATGGTGCCAATGAGAGCTATCCTGGTAAATGTTGATCTGTCAGCTGAGATCAATTAAGTGTTTTTGAAGAATGTGCCTAAATGTCAAAATGTTTGCTAAATGTAAAAATCCGACACTGCACACATTGCAAAAGAAGCTCGCCTTTACTGAGTTTACACTGAATCTGTGGCTCACAACAATGAACATTATTGCACTGGTGGTCATTGTGGAAATTTTGCTCTGCCTGCTCATATATTGGGTGGGCTGGCTAGCTTGCTTTCCACAAACACAAAAGAATAAAAATTAGCTCATAAGGAGACTGAGCAATTAAAATGAAACAAACCCAAATCAAAAGTGATAGTGATAGAAGTGTGACTTTTTTTTTTTGACCATTCTTTCCTGAGATGTAAATCATTTTTTTATTTAAATATTGATGACTTTCAGCCTTTAATTAAATGTTTCATTATATTTTTGTATGTTTTGTTGCAGTAATAAATATTATTAAATTGCAGATTATGTCACATGGTCACTCTGTCCGGAAAAGAAACGCCTTACTTTCAAAGTGTGACAGCTCACAGAATTGTTAATCACTTAGGCAGAAAAACTTGACATGCTGCTGCGTTTTATGGACACCTGGGCCCAGTTTTTCAAAAGGTTTAATTTTGATAAAATTTATCCAGATTTAGTAATTCTGTTTTTGCGATTTGTGATCACGAAATCTAGCTTACTTAAGCCATTTTTTCAAAGCAACATTGGATTGGATCAATCTGATCTGGATAGAAACTTTTCAGGATCACTAAATTTGGTTTGGCAGTGCTCAAACAAGATAGGAAATCACAATGTAGAACTATAGATGTGTAAAAAGTGACAAATACAATAGCTAGTTTGTGGAAGAATCTAACTTTATTTGAAATGAAAACGCACATTAAAAAAAATAAAACTAAAAACAAGAAAAACCCCACTTAATCCTCTTCCAGCAGTCTGCTAATGTGAGACCAACAACACAAACTACATTGTGGATATTATAACAAGTTTCAAATATATATGATTAAAAAAAAACAATGTCAATCTACAATAATTTCAGACTTCATCTGATGTAGAGAGACAGCGTGTCTGAGCGTAGCCTTTAGGAGGCAGATCTCAAGTCTGGCCTTGGTTTGCTGCAGTTTGGTCAGAGGCAGTTGTTGCAGATGAAGCTGTGCTTCTGCCCTTTTAGTCTCTATTTGCAATTGTTTAAAGTGATTTCAAAAGTCAGTTTTCCATTTTTAACATTTTTGTTTTGTTATTCTGTAATCATTGCATGCACCACTAATAAATATTCTAAAAATATATATTTTCAGTTGTGATGAATATATATCAATTACTGATGAAATAAAATGTATTGTTTTGGTCAATTTTGACAGCTGTTTGGGGGATTATTTTGAGGCTTACCACTTTTTTCTTTGCTGTAGGCCTATACTGAAAGGCGGATTACGTTAAAGGCTACCTAATTAATGTGGCCTGACTGATGAACAAATACAATTTAAACCTTATGAATAAATGGGATATATTGTGAGCTACTGCATGATCAAAATATAGTATTGTTGGATTCATTTTGTAAGTTTTCATTACATTTTGGGCATTAAATTCATGCTGAATCCACCCTTGTGATGAGAAGTTTAATCCTGTTTTTTTTTTTTATCAAAGTGATCCAAATCCTACAAAAAAGCTCTGAAAAACCCAAACTAAAGGTTTGATTTGGATCAAAACCAACATTGGATTACTTCTGATTATGTAATCCGTTTTTTCTTTTGGAAAAAATGATTTTCAAGATTTGATCCATTCCTTCATCCAAAGTCCTAGAGGATTACTTTTGAAAAATTGAGTCCTGAAGTGTTTTAGGGTTGATCAGATCATAAGAAGATGATTAGCCCAGCCCAAAAAGGATATCGACCCAGCATGAAACTACACGGTCTGCCCCTTGCCACAACAGAAAAAAAAAAAAAATGCGGCAAATGCGATAGTGTTAATTTTTTTTAACGCTTTATTTTAAATTAATTACATGTGTTAATGCATTAACTTTAACACCACTAATATATATATATATATATATATATATATATATATATATATATATATATATATATATATCACAATGTAAATACTTGTGCAATTATCTTTATGCTTCTCTTCTGACTTGGAAAATGTAATTGGCTGAATTGTAGAAATGCTGTAATAAGAGTATGGGGTGTTTAACTGAAACTTGATTAATTGTGCAGCCCTAAATACAATATTATTATACAGTGGAGATTTATGTGCCCCAAGTGTGTTACTTTTAAGAGAGACTTGATAACAAAACATAAAATCTGCAAACTCGATTTGACAATGTAATGTAAAGTAGGGATTTTTTTTAAGGCGTACATATTGCCCAGCTTTAGCCACAAGCAGGGGAGCACATTATGGTGCAAGTGCAATGATTCAATGAGTTTGTTTTAATCCAGTACTGCTGAAATCTCCTAGGGTAATGAAGGAAATGGCAGAGTTGGCCTGCTGCTTAATAATTTGTATTTGTTGTCATCATTGTCATCAATTCATTGCTGCTACAAATTAATTTTTTGCAAAATTAAATGCACAATATCACAAATGGTTCCATGATAAGCATGAACTGTTATGTAAAACATCAGATAAAACTAGTGCTGAATTGTGATGTAATGATGTTAGTTTATCTATGTGCTAGAACATGTAAACTGAAAATATGAAAGGAACATTCAAAAATCAAATGTTGAGTTTAGTTTGTTTATTTTAGTTTGTTTGTGAATAGTAATTTATTTATTTTGTATTGCTGCAATTATAATTGAGTACTTAATTTTAAAATTTTAAATAGATTTAATTGATAATTCAATTTTTAATATTAACACTACTTTCATTATACGTATCGCTGCATTTGTAGGTAGTGTGATATTAATTGTATGATTTAAATGTGATATTAGTGTAAGGTTATGTTGTTGCTTTATACATTTTTGTTTTGTGTAACAAAAGTATGTTGTGTTTTTCTGTTTTAGGTGAATATCAAAGTCAAGGTGCTGCAGTTCAATGAAGCCAGAGATGCATACACCCGCACTAGTCAAAAAATGATGACCAGGTGTTATGAGGTTGCCGATGTGACAAACAGCATGTCCCTAACTGTATGGGGTGGGGAAGTACTTAATGTAGCAAAATGGTACGCCCTCACTAATGTGTCAGTGCGTAAATTTGGGGGATGTAAGTGTCTGTCGACTACAGCACAAAGTACAATTACAGCTTGTGCTGACAATTCAATGGCGGTTGCAGAGATAAGGCAGAACTTTGAGACGAAGGAGGGCATCATAGTAACAGCTGATGTAAAGATGGAATATTTCTGCCCAAAACGACATGCCTTATTAAAGGTAAATCTGGAAACATCTGTGACGAGGTGTCACCAATGTGATGCCTGCTGTCACACTTCGAGAATTGTTGCCGCTTTAAGAGGCAATATTACAATTGAGGAAAAATGTGGCAAAATGAATAATTTTGGCATCGACGATTTTCTGATGAGAAAATTGTTAAATATTTCTAACGAGAGCACCCCTGACCCAGATGCACTTGTTGCAATGCTGCTTGGAGATGGGTCAGCATCTGTACAAGTCAAATTTCGCGGTCAGAGGGTCATTGACGTTGTATTTGTCAAAAAAAGCACAAACGCATTAGCTGACAAAGAAGAAAGTGTAATGGGAACGAGTCATGACATGGGCGAGTGTTCAGAACTGTTCCTTGAAGAACTGTTCTCAGAGGATCAGTCAGAGGAAGTAACTCAGTTGAATACAAATGTTAGTGAGCAGGGTAGCAAAATGTCACACCAATGTGATATGTCGGATAGGGTTGGAATGGCAGCTGAGTCGTCAAAGAGAAAAACTCCAAGGTCTAAAAAGTGAAACTCTTAGATTACTTAAATTAGTTAATTACTGACATTTTCTCTGTATTTAACTGAAATCCAAGTACTCTAACATAAAGCTGCAATTGTACATAGTTTTATATATTGAAAGTTTGTGTTTTGTGAATTATTGTAAATTCTAATGTTAATCAAGAAGAAAATGCATGTTAATAGTAGTTTTTATTTAGTTTTAAATGTTATTGTTTTATAAATGTTAATGCTAAATAAAGATTTTCAGTATTGTACAACAGTGTATTTTATTGTACAAAGTACATTCTGTTTATATAAAAAACATGACATATATGAAACATGCATTAATAAACAATTTTGTATCTAATATGCTCAAACATTAAATGCAAAGGGAGACATTGACTTGAGCTTAGCAAAAACTACAATGAAGTAACTTTGTGGACTAAATGCATATGGGTTAATGATCATATATGCTTCAGGTTATGTCTATAGCAAATGTGCATCTAAGGGCTGTGGCCAGAGGCGCTGTAACATTTTACCTTTTAAACGTTTGTACTTATTTCAGAGCTTGTTCTATTTCTGTATTTGGGCTTCCAAAGGACATGAAACCAGAGTAATTACAATGCATTTAACTGTTTCAGACAATTTAAAAAAGATTTCTCTGTTGCATTTGACAATAGACAGCTGTCAGAATTTTTTCAATTTAGTGCTAAATTTAGCTAGAACTCAAAGGAGGACCAGTTTTAATCATAATAGTAGAAGTTGTGGATTGTGATCCCATGATTTTTTTAAGCACATTTCTAAACATAATAGTTTTATTAACTCATGTCTAATAGCTTATTTATTTTATATTTGCCATGGTGACAGTAAAAAATATTTGACTAGACATTCTTTAAGACAGTTCTATACAGCTTAAAGTGACATAAAGGCTTAACTAGGTTAATTAAGTTAACTAAGCGGGGTAGGGTAATTAGGTAAGTTATTGTATAATGATGGTTTGTTTTGTAGACTATGGGGGATAAAATTGCCTAAAGGGATTAATAATGTCCTTAAACTGATGTTTAAAAATTTTTAACTGTTTTTATTCTAGTCAAAATAAAACAAATAAATTTCTCTAGAGGAAAAAATATCAGACATACTGTGAAAACTTCCTTGCTCTGTTAAACATCATTTGGGAAATATTTATATATTTTTATATATATATATATATATATATATATATATATATATATATATATATATATATATATATATATATAATTAAACTATAATTTAAAAAAACTCAGTGTACATCATTTATAGGTAACTATTGTAAGAAAAATCAGCATTTGGTGAATACCTTTAGTGATACCCGTGTTTGAATTGTTTTCTGAATGCACCAGACATGAATGAACCTCATAAAGCATGATAAGCATACAATTCTGCATAATTTGTAAAATAGACTTTCAAATTAAGAAATCAGCATGGTAGGAAGTTGCCGCGGGCCTTGGTGCGTATGAAAAGTTTTTAAAAAGTGTATTTGTATAGTGAGAGAGATAGCAATTAGATAAAATAGACAGGGATAGATTGATTTCTGCAGTAGCAGCCGAAAAGCTGCTCGCTGCAGACGTAGTGTGAAAGGTGTCCTGCTTCTGTTTCTTCAGCGCATGCATTGCTTTTGGTAAAGGGTTTTAGAATGACTAAACATTTCAGATGTTTTACTGTGTGCTCAGCCTGCCGATTTGTCTATTAATACATATTTTCATCATGATCTTATTACAAACCTTTTAATGCACACACTGAAATTTGTTTAGTAGCCTAAATTTCATCGTAGTTTATGCGCATATTTTCTTTAAAAAAAAGTTTATTTTAATCGGTTATGCGCATGTTTTATGCGTATTTTTAAAAGTTATGTGCATTTTGGCGTTTCTATCAACCTATGCTCATATCCAAAATCCAAAAAATAAGGTGAAGGTGAGAAATGCCGCTTCGGGGAGGAAGCCGACAGAAAGTGCAAGTTCAGAAAATAAAATCTGCTCCTGAACAGGTAAAGATACCACAGTAACTGACTATGACTTAAAGTTACCTCTGTTACCTCATCGACTTACCCTGCTTTGTCGAGTTTGAAAAAAATTGCTATTTTGAAACTGAAAACCCAGTTTTTCATTTTAGGGTTGACACTCTGAGTTTCCATTAAACTGCTTTCTAAAATGGGACTATTAAACTATTTAGGGTATTCCAAAAACGTGAGGCACATCATTGCCTTTTTTGTTGACAAGAAAAAAGGAGCACAGTGCTCTTTTTTTTTTTATAGATTAAAATGTCTAAATGAACTGATCTGAGATCGCTGCGTGTGTTGTAAAGGACGGATCTATAGATTTGTAAAAATCATAGCTATGCAACCGACGGCACATCAGCGTAATGACATCATCTAATTAATATTCAATTATCCATGTGAGCAAAATTACATAAAACACGAAGTAAACGGTTTGTTAAATATGACACAAAATAACTTTACACAATTGTTGTGGGCTGCAGCCTTTACACTTTGGTGTGTCAAGATTGTTTGGCAATTTATCTAGTTTTACATTTAGAATCGATAGTGTTTATTATAGTAACTTTTCTTAATTGTAAGGAAAAAATGTGACATTGAAAGAGTCCATATTAATAACATTTTTTAATCCTTTAAAGACAATCTCCCCGTGACCGTTTTTGTACTTTTTTTGGAGTACAAAGTGCATAAGTTTTAATTATGATTTTTTAACATTTTGTTATGTAGATTAAAATGATCCTAGACCATCTCAAATCATCAGCAACTAAATCCAACTGAGTAATCCATGTACAAGAATGGACCCCTGTAGTATTTGCCTTAATTGATATGAAGGACTTTTTACCTCTGTCGTTGTTTAAATAAGATTGTGTGTGCAGTTTTGTTCAAAATAATTTATTTAGCAAAATATAAGAGTTAAGCACAGTCTTATCAAGGTAAATGTGTAAGTAATAAGTAGCCTAAAAGCAGTACGAGTTTTAAACTCCAATCCACTAGAGGGAGCACCGTTTTTTACTTTGAGCGCATTATTGTTTTTACCAGCACCGAAGAAAAGTGTGGTAGGTAGATATAGCTTTTGTCTGTGTAATTTTTCTAAAATTTATTTTAATTTTGTGCATCCATAATCGTGTTACGTTGATATTAGTTGTTCATTATCTGTGTGTATGTTTTGTGGCTGCATTTTATAATGAATAGCACTCTTACTGTAATAAATTACTACGTAACAAAATGTACTTGGTTAGCGTCAGGAGTGTTGCTAGACTTTCGCACGTGCTCCAGTAAAAACAATTTTTTTAATATATTATTTAGATTGATAGTTTCACAATAAAGACGTTATGGTTCATGTACAGTCGAACGAATGTGAAAGTAGTATTGCTTAGTCAAAAATTAACGTGCGTAGAGAAAATCACATTCAACTATTCAGCTGCTCTGTTTTAAGTCTGTCGTTGGTAAGTGAAGAGCGGGGGCAAGCGATCAAAGGCTTGATTATCAGACCCGCGGAAAAAGTCCGTCCCTGCTGGTGTGTGTCCGTGTTTTTAAAACAATGCATAAAAACTTGAAAGCAGAGGTTTTAATTGGTATTCTGTTTAAATAATTTAAGAAGATTGGGCAAATGTTGGATCTTATGATCTTAATAACTGATCACAGGCTAAATTAGATCCTTAAACATATTCTCAAATCAGAATAAAATATCTGGATGCACTGATCTGCGTGTGTTGTGAAGGAAAAGCGCAGTAGTTTATAACATAATATAGAATAATTTATGTGAGCTAAATTCCGTAAAATTTGTAGTAAATTGCTTGTTAAATAGGCGACGCAGTGCTGCAGTAAGTAATGCTGTCGCCTTTGCGTTTCTGTGTGGAATTTGCATGTTCTCCCTGTGTTTGCCTGGGTTTCCTCCGGGTGCTCTGGTTTCCCCCACAGTCCAAAGACAAGTGCTATATTGGAACTAGGTTGGCTAAATTGTCTGTTGTGTGTGTGGATGTGTTTCCCAGTGATGGGTTGCGGCTGGAAGGTCATCCGCTGCGTAAAAAACGTGCTGGATAAGTTGGCAGTTCAATCCGCTGTGGCAACGCCGAATTAATAAAGGGACTATGCTAAAAAAAATTGAATGAATGTTTGTTAATTATGATGCACAATTTTGTGAACTGCGACATTGAGAGTATTTGGCTATTTATTTAGATTTAGAGCAGATTTTCTTTATTATAGTATGCTTATTTAATTTTCTTAATTGACTGTTTAAAATAATTTTTCATAAAAAAAGCAACTTTTATATTAGTAAACGTGCTGCAATATTTATGAACCATCAAATCACTGGCATAGGTTTCAAAATTTGTCCATGACTGCATAAACTGTTATTTTACGTCCATAGCCATACTGAAATTGTACTAAAGCTGGTTTTGTACCTTAAAACCATGAGCGTGCACACACACACACACACACACACACATACAAACATGCAACAACTTTAAAGCTGAGGTGTAAACACACAGCAAGTTTAAAGAATATGATGATGGTCTTATTTTGATGAAACATGGTGCCTGATAGATTGTTTTGTGTGAATTAGTAAGTAGAGTTAAGGAGCCAGATTTAATAAATCAATTATAGGCCATTCAAGTCAAAATGACACAATAGATTCTTTTATAAAACATGTTTTTTTTAGAATTGTAATAAAATTACTTTCATGGGCTGACCAGTACATTTTAATCTTAAGGGTCATTTTTTGCTGTTAGACATACATGTAAAATACTTACTTTAAATCGGATTTATTTTTAAATATGTATGTTTCATTCTATACCTTTATTTACAACAGTTATTTTTGTGAATTCATGTATAATTGTGTGAATCAATTATTGATCAGTGATTTAACATGATTTATTCATTGTTTAAATAAATTATTTTTATGATTCTAATATCCTTTTTTTTGTTTTACAGATTATTGTGACAACTGATTTGTTGTGGTAAGATTCTACTTTATTATTGGTTTGTTTAAAAGGGTGGACCACTATGATATCATATTTTTAACTTTAGTTGATGTGTAATGTAGCTGTGTGAACATAAACAACATCTCTGAATGTAAAAAGCTCAAAGTTCAATGCAAAGGGAGACCTTGATTTTTACAGAGTTAGCTCAGCAAAGCCTACAATGAACGAATTTTGGGCACTACAAAAAATACTTTTGGCCCTTGTGAGACTTTTGGCCCATAATGGTTCGTTTACATCGTACACACACTGTGCAGGTAAGGGCCATGGCCAGAGCTCTGTAACGTAATAGCAGAGATAAAGCTAAACATGGGTCCAAACACTGCAGTTTCCACAGAGCCTCATTTGTTTCTGTATTTGGGCAGAATTGCAAGACAGAATTGCTTACAGTTCAATATTAATTATGTTCAATAGAATTATTAAATACATAGCAAGCATAATTTGACAAAACAGCTCCAGAATCTCTCCCAGTTCATTGCTGGATTTGGCTAAAATCTCCTCAAAGCAGAAGCTAAGAGCTCATCCTGTAAGTGTTTTTATTTGTTAAATTTGATCATGACATGTACAGTGTGTAGTACTAATAGTACAGTATGCTGTAGCAACAATGTAAACAATGGGAAATGCTGCTTTGCACCGCAAACGATTTAGCTACAAATTCATATTAATTAGTCAAACTGCTGTTAACACACACACACAAAGTCCACCAGCATGTGCAGCGTCTCTGTATGTGTATGCACGACTTTGCCTTAGTTCTCATTACGCAGCTTTTCCATGCGTTTTACATCTCAGATAATGAAGTCACAAAAGATATTTGGATGATTCATATTACTTACACCTGCATATTTTGAATATATGTGAAAGACGTCATGTAACGTTGCGTTGAGTTAAAGAAAATACAGGATAATGGTAGCTCACTTAACTTGTATAGCAGCAGAAAAATAAATCAAGGCTCAACAGGTAGCATCCCACATCTTGTGCTTTATTCTTCTGTCACAATATATTACAGAAAATAACTTAATCCGAGCATCAGAGAAAAGAAAAAGGAAGTCCTGCTCACACGTGTTGTTACTGAAAGTTCACACATTCACACACACACATAGACACGCAATATTGATGTCTATTAAAGGAGCTGCACCCCATTTTTACTCGTTACAGACACTGGTTAGATTTTATTTTACAGAGTAGGCAGGAGGTTGACTGATTGTTTACACAGCTGAAAGGCGATCCGCAAATTGCAGCACATTATGATGATGATTAATCAGAGTCACTTGAGGGCGGGCCTTTCAGAGGAACTAGGAAATATGACAGTCGTTTTCAGTAGCTGTGTATAATCAAAGTGAGATATATGGAAAAAAAAAAGTGATTTCCTTCAAGTGAAACATGAGCACAAATTGGATTGCATCTTATAAACACAACCAAACCTTAAAATTACATTTTGGACCAGCCCTTTAAGTAGCCAATATTGTATTCCATGAATATAATGTTTTTTTAATTTACTTATGTTTTGTACTGTTAATAGTTGGAAATATTTAGATAAAATTGACAGATCTTTTGTCCTGTATAGATAGGAATGGTACTGTCTCTTTTTAAAGTCAGGAAAACAAATCACGTTTTTAGTGGTTCAATTAGAAATTAACTATTCATGAAAATTCCTTTGTATGCACAAAGAACAAAAATATTTTTTCAACAGTTTTATTTCACTAAACTTATATAGGGCATTAATTCAAAAGCATTGTTGAATATGTCAAGTTCGATTTAAAGCAATTGTAATTAAAAGTGATAACTGGGCAAGCTATGGTAATAAAGCTAATCATTAGACACAATTGTTTGTTTTTGTACTAGCCTATCAGCAAAACTAAAATAAACTTTTACAGCAAAACTAAAATAAACAAGAAAATAGTATTGTTATTACAGAATAAAGCTTATTGAAAGGCTTATTGACAGCCAAATTACTGTACAGAGTACTGCCTGGATATACTTTATTCTGCATTTTATACAGCTTTTTGCTGCAAATTAACAATTAGACACAAAACATTGTTTTGCTTTGTAGTAGTTTAAGAGTAAACATAGTAGAAAAGGGGTTTAATGGAGCATACAACAAATTTAAATATTGTTTAATCAGTAGATGGCACCAAACAGTGAAACAATGCACTTTGACAAGGAAGCATATTTTTTCCTCCAGGATTTCCTGGAGCTTTTTTTCTAATATTTGCAGCTTAGGATGACTGATTTTGCTGTGGCTTTTTTAAAAATTTGTGACTATTTGCTACATTATTTTGTGTTGATCCTCTATAAAAAATAAATACCGTAGAAAAAAAGTATTTTTATATTTATTTGTATTACTCCTAGAAATAGAGATTGGGTTCTTTAGCAAAATTCAATATTAAAAATATATTAATTCAATATTTCATATGTAACCAAATAACAATTAAACTCATTAACATATTAATAATTAAACAAATTAAAATAAAGTAAATTTAAAGTGCCCACAAGCAGAGGTGGGTAGTAACGAATTACATTTACTTCAATACATTTACTTGAGTAAAACTGTTGAGTAACGTGTACTTTTTGAGTACATTTAAATACATGTACTTTTACTCAAGTAAATGATTAGAGAAAAATCATTACTCTTATTTCGCTACATTTTGCATTGTTCCTCTGTTATTGTCAAGTGATCCATATGTTTTGTTTGCAAATATTGCAATGCACCACATTGGAGAGGTTGTGACACAAGTGGTTGTTATAGAGTTGCATCTCCTGCTTTCGGTTAGGGCAATGGGTGTCTGTGTTGGAATGATGGCTGAAGTCAAGGAAGACATGCAAGTTTATTCTGCGGTCACACCATGGCGATATGTGGTTACAAGAAGGACGGTTATGCTGTCTGAATTGAGTTTATCAGACCTGGGGCCTCATGTATCAATGCTGCGTAAGCACGAACATTTTGCTTACGCCAGATTTCACGCTAACGTTTGGATTTACTAACAATAAAATGAATGTGAGTGTGCACTAATCCACGCTAACTTCATGCTTGGCGTACGTGCTTTTCTTGTGTGTATTTGTTTTATTTAAATTGGCAACTCCAAGAAACAATTATGTTAAATTGCACACTACAAAGTATTTTTCAGTTGTGCAATGGCAGTAGTATGACATGGGACCATTTACATGTCTAGCAAGTATATAATGTTTCCATACAATACAGTTGACCAGGCAAACATCAAAGCGCAACTTGCAGCGATCGCCAGTTTTCCCAATGTAATCCAACAATCGTGTGTGACTGACGTGCGCACATTGCTATAAAGGCGCCATCTGAAGACAAATTTGCATACGTTAATTGGAAACATTTTCATTCATTAAATGTGCAAATAATAATGATGCTCAAGTGTGCTTAACATAATACACACAGTTATTAATAATTTCTACATGTCTTTTTTATGATAAAGAGTAGACTATTCTGACGTAGTAGGGGAAAAACAGCTTAACAAGCTACACCACTCATGCTACTGTTTTTTGCTCTCTTTATTTATGTTGCCTCTGTAAATCGAACATTAATGGGCAGGAATCACTCAACTAGTTTGTTCAGATGAGTTTTGATATTTGCAGCCTAAATAAACACTACAAAACTTTACACCATCACATCGAACAATTTCTTTTTTTAATTATCTCACAGTGCGATGTTTAGAGCCACCTTCGTTAATTGTGGCAGCTAAACTGTCCCACTCTATTTTTTTTTCTTTTGGTATTAATTCTGGAGTACAAATTTGCAAATAACAATTTTTTTCCATTCTACCTCCAAAAGGAGCACCTTCCAATTCACATTCTGTTCAGAGTTTCTTTTTGCTTGCTTTTGCCATCGCTTTTTCATTTGGTTGTGAATAACTACAAAAAACTCCACATTTTGAGAAAAAGAAGCACCCCTTATACCAGGCTGGCTACGGGACTGCTATGGGATAACCAAGTAGTTGTTTAATGAAATAACTGATCAACCCAGTACATATTAGCCATTCATGCTGTTAATCATTAAAAATATAACATGTAAACGTTAAAATCATAAAATGGTGTTTGCGTGTGTGTGTGTGTGTGTGTGTGTGTGTGTGTGCGTGTGTGTGTGTGTGTGTGTGTGTGTGTGTGTGTGTGTGTGTGTGTGTGTGTGTGTGTGTGTGTGTGTGTGTGTGGATGTTTAATTTGTATGTATAATTTGACAATCTGTGTGTGTGGATGTTTTCTAGTAATGTGTTGCAGTTGGAAACATTACATATTAGTTACAAATGTACACACATTTGAACCAATTTATTTAATAAATATTCTTTTTTTGTTTTTGGTACTTCTATTTGAGTCTTTTTTTTGTGTGTGTGTGTTTGTTTTTTAGAAAAATGCCACAGCAGAATGAACTGCTAACTTATCCACCATATGTTTTACACAGCAGATGCCCTTCTATCTGCAATCTAACAAAGGGAAACACCCATAAACACATTCTCACACTACAGTCATCTTAGCTTACTCAATTCCCCTATAGTGCATGTATTTGGACTGTGGAGGAAACTCATGCCAACACGGGGAGAACATGCAAACTTCACACAGAAATGCCAGCTGATCCAGCCTGGGCTAATTTTTATTATTTTACTTGCATTGTATTTGCATACCACAAACTCAAAAAGTAAAATAGTATAATGAATAAAAATATTGTTTTGTAACTGTAGTTACTATTTGAAGTAACTGTAGCTGTTTTAAAATGTATTATTTAAAATTAGATTTATTGCAATGATATTAATGTTATGTTTATTATATGTGTGTATGCAGATGCCTCGGACAAAGAGCTTTCGACGATCCCAGGCTGCCAAAAAGAGGATGGCTGACCGGCTGGCTGCTGATCCTGAAGAGGCTCTGCCACCTCTTAAAAAATGTGCAGAAATACAAAAGCATTGTGTGTATCACAATGTGCCTCAAACACCCAATTTTGCCGATTTTCCCAATGAATCCAATTTTCCCAATGAACCCAATACTCACAATGAACCTCTTGATAATTTTGATGAAGCTATGATTACACTTGAAAAACCTTTGGCAAAACTTGACAAGAAAAAAGCAGTTTCTAAAACTGTACCTGAATTTTCCTCTCTGCCTATGTTTACTGGTAAACATACTAGGATGACAATGAATGCTGTTTCTAATTTATGTTCACCAACATCAATCATCAGAGGCTCTTTTCACCAAGGAGATGACCGTTTTGGCCAAAACATGGGAAAGCAATGTGCTGCCAACAGTTTAACTGCACTTATGTTGTGTAAGATGAAAAGTTTATTTCAGTGGACCAGAAGTGACCTTGATGCTGTTTTGCTGAATGGTGATGAGCTGTACAGTGCCATGAGAAATGCTGGAAAAATCAACGATCCTGGACGAGGCTATATACGTGTTGATGAGCTGCCTGACACACACACTCTGAATAATTGTAGATTTTCAATAAACTATGATCAAACGTTGTCTGGCCTCTTTGGTGTTGATGAATATGATGAAGGTTTACAAGGTTTTGCCATGTCACTTGCTGAAGCAGTAAATCTAGCATTCCAAAAATGTGATGCATGTCTGGTAAATATCAATCTGAACATTTGTGCTGCTGTGAAAATAGCTTCGTGCTACGCAGTTATTGACCCACACTCCCGAAACTCTGATGGTACATGTGCAGCTGATGGTAAGAGTATAATGGCTTTTTGTCCCAACATAGACTCTCTGCTCATGTATTTCAAAACTCTTGGCGTGTCACTGAATGCAGACAATAGTCCATTTGAGGTAACCGGGGTCAAGGTTAAAATGATTAACAATGAACATGTTTCTACAAAACGAGTTTGCAGTCCAGTGGTTGAAAAACATGAAACCGAAAAAGTAAGTGGAAGTGAGAGGTTTGAAATGAAACCCAATGTGAGTTGTAGCTCCACAGCTGACCTAAACACAGTTGAAATAGTAAATGAAACCTGTGAAAAACATAAAACACCAATGTGTTCTACAGGTTACACAAATGATGTTGAGTTTGTTTTACAACATGGTAATGTGCCTCTTCAGTTCACCCCATTAACAGTGCAGCAACAAAAAAGTATTTGTTTAAAGCTAAATTTGGTACACACTGAAAAAGAATGTTATAATTCAAATTTGACTGAAATGGCTGAGCCTTGTGAAACTAAAAGTATTGTTGGAGATGGAAACTGCTTTTTCAGGGCTTTAACATATGCCATATCAGGAAGTGAACTTGAACATAGAAAATTTAGGCTATGTGTTGTTAATTATATGTATCAGAATAAACAGAAGTACAATCAGTATCTAAGACAAGAATACAGTTCTGTACCAGAATATATTGCCAAATCAAGAATGCGACTTTTGGGAACATGGGCTACCGAACTTGAGATACAGGCTGCTTGTGACTTGATTTGTGCTAACATATTTACATACACTCAGGATAAATGGCTAAAATATTCGTCTTCAACTGTAATGTCAAATAGACGTGCATATATAAACCATGGAATTTATTTAAAACATGTAAATAACTGTCATTATGAAGTTGTTGTCTGTGTAAAAACGAAATTTGGGACGTGTGCTGGTGTTTGTACATCATCAGTTGAACGAGCAATATATAATGTAAATTCAAAATGTTCATCAGACTCACGTAAGCTTCGTAAGCAAAAATTACAGTACAGCACTGACCTTGATTTTAAACAACTTAAACAAATGAAAGAAAAAAAAAAGTATCATGAAGACGAATTGCACAAAAAGGCAAAAATTCAATTTGGTACTGAGAAGTACAAAGTAAATAGAAACTATCAGGAAAAACTAAAACAATATAGTACAGACAAATACAAATCAAATGATTTGCATTATAAAGCTGTAAAACACTATAGTAAGGTAAAGTACAGTACAAATATACTATATAGAGAATCTGTGAAAAACTATAGTATTGTAAAATACAAAGAAAATAAAGCACATAGAGATAATGTTAAACACTACAGTTTAGCAAAATACAGAGTAAACAAAACACACAGACAAAATGTTAAGCAGCACAGTGTCGCGAAATACCGAGAAAACAAAATGCATAGGAAAAATGTTAAGGACTACAGTGTCGCAAAATACAGACAAAATGAAAAACATAAAGAAAATGTGCAAAAGTACAGTATAAAAAAATATAAGATAAATGAAATTCACAAAAACATGGTAATAAATTACAATAAAGAAAAATATAAAAATGATATTAATTTTGCTTTGAGTATTAAAATAAGAAATACTGCAAGGCAACATGAAACAGCGCAGAAAAGAAACAAGATCGACTTTGTGATTGAACAGTTTAAAGAAAATATATCTACAGGTCCTATATATGTTTGTTCAGTCTGTCATCGATGCTGCTTCAAAACACAGGTCAAACATTGCAATAAAAATAAATATTTTCAAAAATCAGAGCATGTTGGACATATTGCAGAAAAATGTATAACACTTAATTATCTTCATAAATGTAGGAAACAGTGTACCAAAAAATGTGTTTTTAAAGAAAGTTCAGCTGAACGTCTGTGGATTTGTCATACATGTGATCGAAAAATATGTGACGGTAAAATTCCTGCTGAAAGTGCATCAAATAATCTTCACCTAGACACCATTCCTGCTGAATTGAACTGTTTAAACTCCCTTGAGCAACATTTAATAGCAAAGCATATTCCATTCATGAAAATGATGGCTTTACCAAGAGGAGGACAAAATGGAGTTCATGGACCAGTAACGTGCGTGCCATCTAATGTAACAGAAGTAGTGGATGTTTTACCAAGATCGGAAAATGATGATTTGATGATACGTGTAAAACTTAAAAGAAAACTGACATATAAAGGCCATTATGAATATAAGTTTGTGCATACCAATAAGATAAAAACAGCACTTTCATACTTAAAACTAAATAACAAGTGCAATAATTGTACACAGATGTCCAATTTAACAAAACTTGGGTAAATCCTCTGAAAAAAGTAGAAGAAGAACAGAATGCCAGAAGTGACACAAATGAATATGTTTTGAATACATGTGATGATGTTTATTTTGATGATGGGCACAGTTTTGAGAATGAAAATGAAGACATCAGTGATGAAACTCTCCATGACCGACAACAGCATGGTTTGTTTATGGATTCATGTTTACAGCCAGTTGATATTGCACAAGAGGTTTTAGATCACCATTTTGATGACATTATGTCATTTGCTCCAGCTGAAGGAAATAATCCAGTGAGATTGTTAATGGATGAAACTAATGAAGCCAAATGTTTTCCAGTTCTTTTTCCAAGAGGAACAGGAACTTTTCATGACATACGACCTGAAAAAATAACACTGTCCAGGTATTTAAACAACAGAGTTCTAAATGCAGATGGACGTTTTGCCCAAAACATTGATTATATATTTTATGCACAATATTTGTCTGAGCTTAATCAAGTTATTTCAAATGTTTCTATTGCATTGAGGAAGGGCTTTGATACAAAGACAACAAAAGTTACCCCAGACACACTGACAAACAAAGATTCACTTGAAAAGATTTTACATGGTGATCAGGGTTATAAATTTTTAAAGCCAATTAGAGGGAGTCCTATTTTTTGGCAATCCGTGCAAAAAGATTTGTTTGCAATGGTTCGTCAGCTTGGGATACCAACATGGTTTTGTTCATTTTCATCAGCTGATTTGCGCTGGCCAGAGCTTATGCAAACTATTATGAAACAAGAGGGCTGTCAAACTCCTATTGATGAACTGGACTGGTCAGATAGATGTGGGATGCTTCAGCGAAATCCAGTAACTGCTGCCAGAATGTTTGATCATCGGTTTCATTGCTTTCTGAAAGATGTCATTATGTCACCAGCTGAACCAATAGGAAAAATAAAAGATTATTTCTATCGAATAGAATTTCAACAACGGGGCTCACCGCATACACATTGTCTGTTTTGGGTTGAAAATGCACCTCAAGTGGACAGAGATGATGATAATGATGTTGTAGCTTTTGTTGATCGTTATATAACTTGTGAAATGCCCCCCGAAGAGGAAAATGAAATGTATGAAATTGTTAGCAGTGTCCAACAACACAGCAAAAGACATTCAAAGACATGCAGAAAGAAAGGCACTACATGTAGATTCAACTTTCCACGACCACCCAGCAGAAATACATTCATTGTAAGAAGCAGCCACACTGAAAAGGACAAAAAAGGAAGTGATGATAAAGAAAATGAAACTATACAAAAAAAATCTAACAAGTCTAATCAAATATCAAAAGACCTGGCTGAAGCTGTAATGGAAAAAGTAAAAGAATGTTTGTTAAACAATGATGCTGTTTATGAATCAATTGACAGTTTTTTTGCATCTATTGGTATAAATCAAGAGATATTTGAAGCTGCTTATAATAAAATGACAAAGAAAACAAGTGTTGTTTTGAAGAGAAAACCAAGTGATGTATGGGTTAATCAATATAATCCAGATCTTTTACGGTGTTGGAATGCAAACATGGATATACAGTTTGTTGTGGATGCTTACTCTTGTATAGTATATATCATTTCTTATATTTCTAAAGCAGAAAGAGAAATGGGATTGTTGTTGGCAAATGCTCAAAAAGAAGCACACAAGCAAGGAAATATGGATGCTAAACAGGCTTTAAGAAAACTTGGAAGTGTGTTTTTACATAATCGAGAAGTTTCAGCTCAAGAGAGTGTTTATCGTTTGACTAATATGAAACTAAAACAGGGATCAAGGAAAGTGGTTTTTATTCCAACGGGTAGTAATACAATAAAAATGAGTCTACCATTAAACATCATCCATAAAAAAGCTGAATGTGGGGAAACGGATGACATATGGATGACAAGTATAACAGAGAGATACAGAGCTCGTCCAAAAACAGAAGAGTTTGCAGAAATGTGTTTAGCAGCATTTGCCTCAGAATACAGAGTTTTGTCCAAATCTGAAAATTGTTCAGAGAGAATAAAATTGGAGAATGACCTGGGATTTGTGAGAAAGAGAACTCGCACAGACTTTGCAGTTGTACGATATGCTCGTTTTTCACCTACTAAAAATCCTGAAAATTATTATCAAAGTATCTTAGAACTATTTTTGCCTCATTATTTGCAAAGCCAATTGAAACCACCAAATTTCACCAGCCACAATGAATTTTATGATACTGGATTTGTTACAATACAAAATTCTCAACTTCAATCTGTAAAAATTATAGTAGATACAAACATGGCAAATTTTGAGAAAGAAGCAGATACCATACAGAAAGCTGAAGACGATTTAGAACAATATGGACCAATGGAAGATGCTTGGGCCCAAATCTGTCCAGAAGCTGAACTTGAGCGTTTAGAATGTCTAGATAGTAAAAAGAAACAAACAGAAAATGAAGAGAACGATGATCTCATACCTGACCTACTACCAAATGCTGCTCTTTCCAAAACAGAACACAATACAAAATCTGTTATGCCAAAGAAAGATGCA